TCAAATTAATGCTAACTGCATTCCCTATGCCATGCTCCCCATCCCCGTGACCAACTATCAACTACTAATTTGTCCTTCTTTAACCTTTCACCCTATTTTCCCAGCCCCCCAACCCCCATCCTCTCTGTCTGTCATCAAATTGTCCAGTATATTTGTGAGTCTGTTTTGATTAGTTTATTCTTTTTGTTCCTTAGATTCCGCATATAAGTGAAATCATATGGTATTTATCTTTCTCTGTCTGACTTATTTCACTCAGCATAAAACCTCTAGGTCCATCCATGTTGTTACAAATGGTAGGATTCCTTTTTTTTTTTTTAATGACTGAGTAATATTCCATTGTATATATGAACCATAACTTCTTTATCTAATTGTCTGTTGATGGGCATTTAGGTTGCTTCCATATCTTGGCTATTGTAAATTGTGCTGCCATGAATATTGGAGTGCATCGATCTTTACAATTTATTGTTTTGTTTTTCTTTGGATAAATATCCAGAAGTGCAATTGCTGGGTTGAAAGGTATATCCATTTTAATTTTTTGAGAAACCTCCAGGCTGGTGTCCATAGTGGCTATACCAATTTGCATTCCCACCAACAATATATGAGGGTTCCTTTTTCTCCACATCCTCGCCAACACTTGCTATTTTTTGATTTATTGATGATAGCCATTCTGACAGGTGTGAGGTGATATCTCATTGTGGTTTTAATTTGCATTTCTCTGATGATTAGCAACCTTGAGCATCTTTTCATATGTCTGTTAGCCATCTGTATTTCCTCTTTGGAGAAGTATCTGTTCAGGTCTTCTGCCCATTTTTTAATTGGATTGTTTGTTTTTTTGTTGTTGTTGTTGTTGAGTTGTATAAGTTCTTTACATATTTTTGGATATTAACCTCTTATCAGACATATCATTAGCAAATAGCTTCTCCCAAACGGTCGGTTGTCTTTTTGTTTTGTTGATGGTTTCCTTTGTTGTACAAAAACTTTTTAGTCCCATTTGTTTATTTTTTCTTTTGTTTCCCTTGCCTGAAGAGATATATCTGAAAAGAAATTCCTGATAGTAATATCAGAGATTTTACTGCCTTTGTTTTCTTCTAAAAGTTTTATGGTTTTGCGTCTTACATTTAAGTCTTTAATCCATTTTGAGTCTATTCTAATATACTCTTCATCTCAGATAATGTGTTTTTCATTTCTGACTGGTTCCCTTTTATAATTTCCATTTCCATTTTATGTTTTTTTTTTATCTTTTAAAATTCTCACTAAATTCATCTACACTTCCCCTAAGTCCATTGAACATCTTTATAACCAGTGTATTGAACTTTGCAGCTATTAGGTTACTTGACTCCAATATTCTTGGATCTCTGTTCTGTTCTCTCATATGGTTTCTGCTTTTTTGTCTTCCCATTTTGGCTGACTTCCCGTGTCTGTTTCTATGTACTAAGCAAAGCTCCTAAGTCTCCCAAGCTTATTAGCGTGGCTTCATGTAGTAGGTGTACAGTGGCATGGTCCTGAGAGAGAATCAGCTGCAGGCCAAGTTTAATCCCAGTCTTTTTCCCTACGAGGCCACCTGTTAAGATTCAGCAAGCAATCCACAGATGCTGTGCTTATAGTTGCCTCAAGAGGCAACGCCAAAAACAGACGCCAGCTGCCACCAGTGTGGGTCTTGGAGCTGCTTAGCAAAGAGCACCTGACTCACCAAGGACACAACAAGACATGGCTTGGGTGGGGCCACGAGTTGAGGGAGGAGGAGTTTCAGGGAATCCTCTGGGCAGAGTGACTTCTGTTATCCAGTTTGATGATGTCTTAGCTATGGCGGCACTGCATCCACACACTGGGAGCAGGGAGGGCCCAACAGAGGAACAATGGATATCGCCAGCACTTCTGCCCGGGAGAAAGCCTCTCCACCAGCACTTGCTCCAACAACTCAGTGTTCTCCTGTAAGTCCCTGGTGCCCCCTAGCAGCCTACCTGGTGCTGGTGCTCAGAGTCATCAAATCTGTCACCATGAAAGTTCTCTTGTGGACACGGCCAGTTTAAGAAGCCTTTGCAGCCTCCGGCTGCCGCTGTTGTAGCCTCTGTCTCAGCCACTGGGAACTGGGCAGCCTCATGTCTTCTCTCGCTCCTATCTCCTACCATTGCAGGGTGGTTTCTTATTTCTCTCCCTATTAGTAGGGCTTCTGATCATCTAGACCCAGGGCGACTCTGCTTGATGTTTGTTCCGTGTTTCTGTCACAACTTTGATTTGGTCCGAAGAGGGGATGAGTGAAGCTTCTACCACCTATGCCATTTTGCCTGGGCTATATCCTACCTGTTTTCTA